CCGGGCTTCCCTTGCACGTGAGACACGAGATGCCCGTGATCTTGGGATTTTGGTTGGCTACAGAAGCCTGATGCTAAGATGATTTGTTTGTTTGTTGTTTTTGCACTGAACAAACTAAAAGCAAACGCCTTAGTGATGGACTGGGCACTTTGCCTGTGTTCTGCCGTGGAGAGAGCCTGACGGGTGCCAGGAGAATTGCTGCATGAGGGAATGGGCGTCGGGGCCGGTGAAGGGTTTTCTCAGCTACTCTCAAGTGGTGACAAATGGACTGAAATTTCCATTTTTTATTCTAGAAAGCATTAGACTCACCCGCTGTTCACAGAGGAGTTTGTTAAAAGGGAACATGGTCTTACCTTGACATAGGTTCTGCATTCCCTCTCTTTGCAGCGGGGTGGGATGCCGCCGTGCTCCCCTCAGGACCGTTGCGTCAGTCCCTGTGAAGGCATCGGTTCCCTGTGCTCAGTGAAAATGTCAGCCAGCATCAGCAGGGGGTCGGAGGCTGCAAAAGGGATTTGCGATCACAGCTTGTCTACAGGTCGGGCTGTAGTCGAACAGACAGACCCCCTGCTTTTCATGTAGGGTCAAAATGCACTCAGAGGGCTGGCATTTAAAGGCTGCAGGAAAGTTTATATGAACGGAGTGCCTCAGAAATCAAAAGCCAGGGGCCTGGGAGGGCTGGGCTGCGTAGCTGACAGCTGTTTTGAGGAAACAGTTCCTTCACATTAGGAAGCTGAGGTGAAAGCCAGGGCATCAAACTCAATGAGAGGGTTGCTACAGGAGTAAATAACAGGAGGGGTTCACCCTGACTCTCACTTTTATGACTCCAGCTGGTTAATTTTTTTTCTGTGGAAACGTGCTCCCAGCCTTTATGCACTTAGCCAGTCTGGCGTTCTCAGTCAGGTGAAACAGGTGATGTCCAGATTTGCCTTAAATATTATCTGTCAGACTAAATTGTGCTTTCTCTTTGATCTGATTTTTAGCTATACGATATATGTGTGTGTATTTTTTTCTGACACTGTGATTGGAATTCTACTGTAGCAAATCACAAACCTTCAGCTGGTGTGAGTATCATCTCTTTTCAAGGACCCTTTTGCATTCTAATCCACTTCGGTGATTGACCTCTGTGTTACGTGCCCACCTCAGCACTGTATGAGGGAGGTCCCTCTTCTGCTGGGGGCTTGTTGCCCAGCCAAATATTCTTACATAGTGCTGACTGATTTCTAAGGGCCCTGTCCATCAATTCTGTCACTAGCTCGACCAGAACAGTAGCTAGCTCTTGTCAGAAAAGCTGGACTGGAGAGGGAAGCCATGGAAATTCCCACTCTGCTAAAGAATTACATTCCCAAGAGCATCAAAGACAGTTTGCAGTGGAGAGAGGGACGTAAAATTGCTGACTACTGTGACTACTGAACAATCAAAGGAAGGAGGAGAAACAAGGAATTAAGAACTGCATGGATCCCAGGCCTTCAAAAGAGAAAGGATCCAGCAGATGGATGTGCTTGCAACAGACTTGTGTTCATTGAGAGGGGCTGACTGGGTGAAGCTGCCAACAACTTCTCGTGGCTGTGAACCTTTCACCCCATCGGACACCCACAGTCAGCAGGACAAAGTTCAATTTGCTGCTTTCCTTAACTAATGCATTTCATCACACCAGTTTGTACACTTTCTTCTTAAGATAAGTCTGTGCCCACAGATATGGATGCTATAAGATATGAGTACACGAGTCATTCTCTCTCTCCCTCCTGCTTGTTTTACACTGGGGCCAGTTGTTTCCCAGCCAAGAGTTGCCTCATTGGTACTAATACAATGAGCGTGGGGAGGAGCACCCATGGACATGGGTGTCATGTCTCCTGCTGCTGCTCCCCAGCCACGCTTCCTGCGAGGGAGCTGCAATAGGTGCTGAGCCCTTCCCCGTGCTTGTTGGGGGCTTCCTGTGGGCAGCTTCAGGGTGCAACCTGGGAGGTGTCTGGGGGCATCCAGAAGACATCTAGAGAGCAGGGAGCGCAGTGACATTGCCTCTGGAGAGAAGCAAGGTATGGCCAGCAGCTGGCCAGGACTTAACAATTTTGGAGTGAACTTCCTGGGGGCCAGGGAGGAGCAGGGAGAGATTTTGGCAACTCAGCCGCAACATGGGCTGGCGGGGCAGATCTGCTGGAAGGACACAGTTATTTGTACAGGCTTTTCTGTTTAGGCATTTCTGCTGTTTTACATGCTTGCTTTATCTGCTTGGAGAAAGATAACTATCATCATTTATAGTCATACAAAACCTGACTTTATGGGAGTTTAAAAGCCTTCCTATTCCTCTTTTTTTTTTTTTTTTTTTTTTTTTCTTTTTCTGAAAGCAGTATGGGTGATGACTGAGGCCCATCCGCCTCAACGTTTTAGCTGAGTCATGGTGATTTTACTCCCTGGACAGCCTGGCACCTCCCTGGAACACCCTGCTGTGCTGTTTCATGAATCACGGTGCAAATGGAAGAGATGGCTTGTCCGTAACCTTGTTAAGCATGGCCATGGGTTTCACAGTTTTTCAATGCTATCACCTGACTGGATGTTTACAAGTGTCTGATTTTGAGTTGTCCTTCGTTTAGAGAGACTCTTCCAGAGAGCAATGGTGCTTCTTTGTGGTCAGCTTTTGCTAAAATACCGAAACGCAAAAAGCACATCTCTTCTGTGGCTAGTCTAAAATTATCGGGAATGGTTTTGTTCAGATGAAAGTACTTAGTTAGAAAGCCCCAACATGAGGCAGCCTTGCTGTTAGTGTTCCTTGGGGGAGCAATGTGCGTTATTTTCCTGAACTAACCCTAAGGAGCCTGTCACAAATGTCTCCTCCTGCAGAGCTGACAAGTGAGTAGCCACACGCAATAAGAGAAGGGGATAGGAAATGTGTTGAGGATGTGGATTTGGGTTTGGTTTTTTTTTGAAGAAAGACTTGGAGAGTCAGTTGTGTCAGAGAGAAATGTAAAAGGTGGTGCAACACTCTCTATTGCAATGTATTGATTGCAACAATAATGAAATGACAAATATGAAATAAAGAATAGTAGGAAGATAAGTATTGCCATTTATATTTTAACAAAACCTACTTTTTTTCTGTGAGTCTAAAAGCTTACAGGGCATCTTTGCAGAATTCAATATGGGTGAAGACTGAGACATATCCACAGAATTACAGAAGGACGAGGTTGGAAGGGACCTCTGGAAGTCATCTTGTCCAACTCCACTGCTCAAGCAGGGCCACGTAGAGCAGGTTGCCCAGAACTGTGTCCAGACGGCTTTTGAGTATCTCCAAAGAGGGAGACACCACAACCTTTCTGGGCAACCTGTGCCAGTGCTCAGTCACCCTCACAGTAGAAAAGTGTTTCTAATGTTCAGAGGGACCTTCTTCTGTTTCAGTTTGTGTCCATTGCCTCTCCTTGTGTCACTGGGCACCACTGAAAAGAGCCTGGCTCTGTCCTTTTTGCACCTTCCCTTCAGGTATTTATATACATTGATAAGATCCCCCTGAACCTTTTATTCTTTAGGCTAAAGAGCCTCAGCTCTCTCAGCTTCTCCTAATATGAGAGATGCTCAAGTCCCTAAATGCTCAGCTCAATCTGCCTCTGTGTTTTAGCTGAGTCGCGTCCCCGTCACGCCCTGGGCAGCCTGGCAGCCCTCCCAGGGCACCCCGCTCTGCTCACCTGCAGGCTGCAGCATGTGAATGCAAGCAGGGCCTTATCCGCAGGAACAGCAAACACGGCAGTGGTGTTCAAAGCCTGGCTGTCACTTCACGAGGTGCTCACCAGCAACTGGTTTTGAGCTTGTTCTCCTGACAAATGGCTGCTGTAGTCCCTTGTGGCTGGCGTTTCAGCTGTGAATTCAGCAGGCGTGCACTTTGTGCTCATTTGGAAATAACGAGTACGTTTTGCTAAACTGACAAGGAGCAGCCTGTTTCAAATGCGTTCTGCAGCGAGCGTGGGGAGGAGCAGCCATGGACTCTGAAAGCATGTTTCCTTCTGCTGTTCTCTGGCCATGCTACCTGCATAGTAGCAAGCAGTTCTTTCTATCCTCTCCC